TAATAAAAAATTAATAAAAAATTAATTTAATTTAAAATAAAGTATTATAAAAAGTGAAATATTTGAGGTACATATTCAAATTCTAGTATATACAGTTCTCTCTAATATATATATATATATATATATATATATATATATATATATATATATATATATATATTAAATCTCAATTGTTAATAAAATTGAATCAAACTGTCATATTAAATAAAATATAAAAAAATATATGATAATTTTCTTCTTCTTATAAAATAGATTGTTTATAAGTTGTTTGATTTATGTTGAAAGTGTAATTCCTTGTGTCGAACTAGGTGAAGGTGTGAGAAACACAAAAAAGGAGGGAGAGGGGGATTGAATTGAGTTTCACCAAATTAAATCTTTTTAGTTGGTGACAGACCAAGTTAACTTAGAACCTTCACTCGGCCACTCAAGGAATCAATCAACAACGATTGAATACTTTCAATGTATTACAAATTACTTCTTTTAAGCATATTACACAAACATTTGAGTACAAAGAAAAACACCTAAGTGTTTTATAGCAAGATACGAGTAATAACTCCTTGCCTATTTACAAAATTATACACAAAAGATTTCTCTAAAGAGTTACACAGCCCTTTGGTGTAGTTTTACTTGAGCTTGATTTATTCCGATATATTTTGTGTAATGTTGATTCTTACTTTTCTTCAGCTTCCAAGTCTTTCTTTTATAACTTGTAAAAGAGTTCCGTTGAAAGGTAATCGGAAATCCAACTGTTTGTTCTTAACGGTCATAATGATAGTGGTTATAGTATAGTAGAAAAAATACTGTCCTTACGCCATTCTAGAGGATATAGGTCACAAACACTTTATGTACCTTTTGTACACCATCACATGTTAACCATTTTGAACTTCTTCTTATTTTCAGAGGCTTTAGATAATTGAATTTTTGAAGCTTATTGTAGAAGAATCACCCTTAAGTCTTAGAACTTAAGTCTTGAATTCTTCAGAACTTGCCCTGTCAGAACCTTGTCTTCAGAGTCTTCAACACTTGATTGTAATAACTTGCTTTTCTTCAGATCATCAAAACTTGTTCAGCAGAACCTCGTCTTCAAATATTCAGAAATTGTAACACACAAAAGCAAAGCTTTAGAATGCCTCCAAAGCTTAACCACCAAGTCACGATCAGAATCTCTTATATTAACGTTCCTAAGAATCGTTGCATAAGATGAATTCCAGAATCTTGACTTCTGATCAGTGGTTTTTCCACCTTTATTTATAGTTGATTTTAGTTATAGTTTCTTTATTTTGTCAAGTGCTTTATTTCATTCTTCTATGTTTTATGCGTTGGTTGTGTATTTTGTTATTTTCAAGCTCAGAGGAATAAAACCAAGAAAATTGGTGCGAAAAGTGAAAATTCAAAGTTTCAGAAGAAGTCTCAAAAACCAAGATACAGGGTGCCTGACACGGCCACCCGTGTCACTTGGCATAGGCCGTGTCAGGATGAACGCTATTGCCAAAGACGAAAATCAGGGGGCTGACACGGGTGCCTGTGTCACCTGACATGGCCCGTGTCAGGGTGCTCGAACCAAAAGTCAGAATATAAATTATCAGAAGGCCAACACGGGCGGCCGTGTCACCTGACACAGGCTGTGTTGGCCATTGACGTTGATTTTGATTGCTTTCATGATTTTTCACTATTTGAGATCCAGAGGGGCATTTTGGGCATTTCCAACCGAGACAAATGAATTGTTCACTATTTAGCCAAATTTTGAATAGAAATTAGAGGACTTTTTGGCAGCAAAGAATAGTTCACACGATTGAAGATTGGGGAGATCAAGGTTATTGGAGAGCGGAAGATTCTCATGAGCGGAAGCAAATGAAGATCGAAGCTATCCAATAACTTGTAATGTCTAATTTTTATTTTGTTATTATTTTGAAAAATATGAGTAGCTAAACCCCCCGATGCTAGGGGGTGCCCCTGATTTGACTCTGTAAACGATTTTGATTCCTGAATTTCTATAATACAATAGTCTTCTCTATTCAATTTAGTTGTGCAATTTTTTTATGCTTTCATGATCGGGCAAATTAGGATTGATTTATGGTTAACAATCAGCTGGACCGCAGTTGTTAAGGTTTTTGTACGATTAAGTTATAGTAGATATCACCTAGGACTAGGGATACCCTATAGTTACCAGATAACTCTTGATAAAACAAAGATTTGACTCCATCAGAAATCTCTAAGGACTTAGGATTTAGGATGAGGGTTCAAAGGTTTTACCACTAAGGACTTAGGAAAAGATAACCTAATTGGATGGTAATTGAAGGATATGAGCTTGTTGAAGAGATCATGGTTCAAGGTAGTTATAGGGAAAATTATACACATTACCCTAGCATGTTCCTCATATCTGTGAAAAACCATTTTATATTTCTGCTATTTGTTAAGTTACAATATCAAAACCAAAACCCAAATTAAGTTTTTGGTTTAATTAAACGTGAATTTAACTCGACAATTATACACAGTCCTTGAGATCAATATTCGGGGAATTTTCCCTATTGTTACTACATTGATAAAAATAGTACACTTGATGTTTTTCCCACAAACTTCACTGTAACACATAACTACATGTTTTCTTCCAGTAGTGTATGTTTAGAACCTGATGACGTCACACGTCTTAGTACCAGAGTTTGAACATTGCAGCAGCAGCTGCACACTAGAACAAAACTATTAGAGTATACAATTGTTCTTTATGATACCATGTAAAGTTATCATCAAAATTTTAAGGCCAAATGTAGAAAAAACTTCTTGTTCTTGCAATCTCCCTCTTTTTGATGATGACAAAACCATATATTTTAATAGAATAATTTATACAAGATAATTACCATAATCAACAAATTCATAGTTGATCTCACAGCTCCCTCTGAATCTGTTAATCCCAAAATTTTATTTATGCTTATTCAGAGTCCCCCATGAGCCCAAGACTTGCAAAATAAATTTTGAGTTTTCAGAACATAGAGATAGAGAAGTAACACTTCCCTAAAACAACTCATCAGAGTCTGACTAGAGCACCCGTTCTTCATCTCAGAACCTGGTTACTCTCAACACTTAACGAAGAATCTAAACTTGATTTTAAGCCTAATTAAATAATGCCACACATCATGTATCAACACTTCTATTTCTTGATTCAGATATCACAACCAAAATAGTATACTTCTGGAGAAGTTCACTACTTCTTAAGTATCAGCGTTTGACATGATATTTTCCAATATATCATACATTCAAACAGTTCATAACTTCTGAATAGAACATATGTTGCAGAAGCACACGTTTTAGAGCATAACTTCTAAGTGGCATCTCTGTAGAGCATGCATCATAATGTTGACTTAACTTCCTTTCAGGAGAGTATAACTTCTGAAGCTTTAAGTATAAATTCTATACTTTCAAAATATTCACAACTTATGAACACTATGATATCAAGTAAGATTACCTTACTTTCAGTAAGTTTATAACTTCTAAATTATGTTTGGTACATATATTTAAATATTCATATATTCATAAAGTGTATAACTTCTTATATATGAAATTAGAGTTGATTTCATCCATAAGGTTCTTAACCTTAGACATCAGGATCTTCATCATCTTCAACTTGTCTTAGAATACTCAGTGAACTTATTCGAAGTTCCTGGAATGAAACATCAAACAAACAATTAGTAGTAACAACATTTTATATGTTTGAGTTAAATATTATGACGAATGATGTAAACCAAAGAAGTGTATCACGCAAAAGATATATCAAGGACATGCTGACAAGACAAGATAAAATATTACTAACATAGGGTAAAGCAAGTTAATTTATATACATTTCCAAGAATATTATGTCTCTCAAGATGTCACCAAAAGTACAAGGTGATTCGGAAACGACAACAACCTTTTATCTGAATAGGATTCCTTTTGACCTTTTAGTAACCAATTTGATAAAGTAGGCTCTTACGTATTCATAGAAATGATCCATTCAAAGAACAAATGATTCATGAGTACATCTGATTTATGAAGACTTCACTTAATCAAAAGTCACATGTTTCAGAAACCTACACCTTAAACCTTATACGCCCATATTACATTTGGAGCTTCAACATATTAAATTAACACCTTTTCATTCTGGACATGGAACCATATTTAAATATTTTAGAATGAAAATAAGTCTATCTTCAGTAAGGGGTTTTCTAAAGATATAATCCCATTGATGGTAAATGTCGACAAAGTTTAAAGAAATAACACCCTTCTGGACATAGTCTCTGATGAAAATGATGTTTGATTTTAATGTGCTTAACCCTAGAATGTAAGATATGGTTTTTAGATAAACAAGTGGCAGAGGTATTATCACAATAAATAGGAATATTACTTTCATATAATTAATAGTCCTCTAGTTGACTCTTCATCCAGAGAATTTGAGTGTTGCAATTTAATGCAAAGATATATTCAGCTTCTGCTGTTGAGAGTGAAATTGTTGATTGCCTCTTGCTAGATCATGATATAAGATTTTCTCATAGAAATTGACAACTTCTAGAGGTACTCTTCCTTTCAAGTCTATCACCAGCATAATCAACGCCATCATGAAGGCCTCTGTTAGGGACAAAAGCAGATTGAGAAGCTGATATGAGTTTATGAAGGACCGTCTTCACCTCCCCGCTAGCAACTTAGAAATTATCCTATAGATACTACCAATCCGGAAAATGGGGAGATAATCGTTAAGCATTTGAGGATTTTGGCACTTTAGAATTAGAGAGATAAAAGAAGCCAAAACAGCTTTGGGAAGAACACCCTGCATAAAAAATTCAGAAATGCAGTCAAAAAGGTCAATCTTGATGATGTCCCATCAAGCCTTGAAAAAATCCATGGAAAAGCCATCTGGCTCAGGACTTTTCCCAGATGCAGCATAATTACATCCTTAAGCTCTTGAATGGAAAAAGGAGCTTCCAAACCAGTCCGATCTTCATGAGAAAGTTGAGCAAATTCCACCCCATCGTTCAAAGGCCTATTAAAGAACGACTCTTGAAAACGATTTCTGAAATGGTCAAAACCCACCTTCTTAACCCCCCAACATCATCAATAATCTCACCTTCTACATTAAGACCAACTATATTATTACGATGAAACCGCACTTTCAAGAACGGATGAAAGAACCTGGAATTTTTATCACCCTTCTTCAACCATCTACTTTTTGCCTTTTGCCTAAGCAGAGAATCCCGCACACATAAACTATCCCAAACTCTTGTATTTGCCTCGATCCTTCTCGCACGCAACTCATCTTCAATAGATGGAGAAACGTCATGAGAAGCCACAAGAATATCAAGTTCATTTAGCTCATCCACTATCCGGTCAACCTGAATGAAGATCATGAATCCCAAAAATTTCTACATTCCAAGCTTTCAAACAGGACCTATAATATACAGAACCATGAAATCAGGTGGAAGAGTGACGGCGGTCTGAGTGGCGGAGACATGCACCACGGCTGGTATGGGTGGCGGCGATTTGAACCACTGTGACGGAGAGATATAATGGTGGCTGGTCAAGGCAATGGTGGTGGGTCTTCCATAAAAAATTGAACTACCCTTCAATACTCTCAAGTCTACTGCAACATTTAATTAGCATTTATGCTTAATTGTTTTCAACTTTTTTTAAACCAAACAGCTATATATAATTGTTTTCAAGTGTGTGACAAATTTGGGAACAAAATTATTTTTTACTGTTTATAAACAATTTTTAACAGTAAAAAAATAACAAATTGTGGAAAATATAAATATGAATAATTTTAAAATTAATAGTAAAAAATAAAATTAAATAAAGGAAATTTTTGTTTGAAAAAATGTGTCTAAAATTTTGTTTATTAAAGTATGAGTTAATGTGCCTATTTTTTTTCTTCTGAAACGATGTAAAAGGTAACTTCATATGCTCTTCCACACTTCATAATTCATATATTCTTAACTTGTATTAATCAAAGTATAAAGTGTCTTTAAAATACTTAAGACTTTCATATATTCTTAACTTGTATTAATGAAAGTATGAAGTCTCTTTAAAATACTAAGACTTTATTAGAGTTTGGAAGGGAGATAGAAGGAATACATTGGAAAAAAAAAAGGAGTAGAGAAAAAAAAATAAAGAAAATAATTTTATTTTAGAAAAAAAATATTTAATTGATTATGTCTTCAAAATTTAGTGTGTATAGTTGAGTTTGATAGAATTAATTATTGAATCACATGTCTAATGATGAGAAGTCAATTACACATCACCAATTAACTTGAGATCAGTTAGTTTCATGTTAGTTGGTTGTTAAAAGTTAGGTACACACTTAGAGTTTTAATATACTGTGCTAGGGTATAGATTCCTTATGGTGCAAGTCACTTTGCGTGTATATATTGTTAAATTGTAATGCTTTGATGTTGAAACTATGTGTGTCGAAGTGAAGTAGTTGTTAAAGCAAGTTGTTTGATGGAAACTATTGACCTATCAAAGAGCTTGTGTATCGAAGTAAGCTGCACACATATTTGATTTGGTTTTAGATTTAGATTTGATTTAGATCTAAAATAAATAGATTTGATTTAGTTTTAAAATAGGTATTTTGAGCTTATATAGTTGAGCTTTTTGGCTTAGGGAGAAATAAGCTCAATTATAAATAGAGGAAGTAACTTCTATTTTTGTAATCAAGTCATTTAAGTTATATTCATAGTATTTGCAGTTGCAAGTGAATAAGAAGTTTTTCACAGTTTGTGGGCAAAGAGAAACTCTGCAGAAAATCATTGTCTTTCTTTATTTCTTTTATTCATATTTTTCATCGTTATTGTGTGGTGATAACAATCTTGTTCATCAAGATTGATAGAAATTTATCATAGGAATTGGTGGATTTCCAACATCTGGTATCAAGAGCTCCGGTTGAGCGATCAAGGAAAGAAGAAAAAAAGAATCATGATGGCTATGAATTATCCAAACAAATATTTTTCAACAAGTCTTTCAATTCTTAAAGCTGATAACTATGAGAATTGGGAAAAATAGATGAAAGTTATGTTTTGTTGTCAAGATCTTTGAGATCTTGTGAAATATGAATTATAACCTTAAAGAAGATGCCCCGGAAGAAGAAGAGAAGGAATATAGAGAATTAAAGAAGAAAAATTATAAAGTTCTCTTTATAATTCATCAATGTCCGAGTCCAGATAATTTTGAAAAGGTTAGTGATGTAGAATCTGCAAAAGAAGCCTGGGAGATTCTTAAGAAATCTTTTAGAGGTGCAGAAAAGTGAAAGACGTGAGGTTATAAACTCACAAAAGAACGTATGAATTGCTTCAAATGGAAGATAGCGAAAGCATATATGATTTCTTCATTAGGGTTACGAAACTAGTGAATCAAATCAAGACGTGTGGAGAGGCATTAACAACAAGAGCAATTGTTTCAAAGATCTTGAGATCTTTGGCTCCGAAGTTCGATCATGTGGTAGTTGTCATAGAAGAGTCGAAGGACATGTCAACACTGTCGAAAGAAGAGCTTCAAGAAACGCTTGAATCTTATGAACAAAGAATGGTTGAAAGAGCTACAGACAAGTCGAAGAGTGATGTGGCTCTGAAGGCTCAATCAACAAATAATAAGAAAGGAAAAGAAAAGTGTTCCGACAATAAAGGTAGAGGTGGCTACAACAACTCGAGTGATAGAGGAAACCAATGCGAAGAAAATGTGTCGAATCGGAGAAGACCATACCAAGGCAACCAAAGAGGTGGAAATAGAGGAAAAGGTGGTGGTCGAAAACCTGACAAGAGTCACATTCAATGTTACAATTGTCAGAAGTATGATCACTATTTTAGTGATTGTCCAAAAAAGCGAAAGAATCAAGAAAGTGATGCGAAGTTCGCAAAGTATAAAGAAGAAGAGATGTTGCCGATGGTTACAATAAGGGATAAAGAAAAATTCAAGGACCAATGGTACTTGGATTCAGGATGCTCATCACATATGTCTAGAAGGAAATATTGGTTTGTCAACATAAAATTCTTGATGAATAACACGGTGAAATTCACAAATGAAAATACCCTAGAAGTTGAAGGTATTGGTGATGTTATGATTATGAGGAAAGATGGCAGGAGGTCAGTAATTTCCAATGTGTTGTACATACTAGGCACGAAGAGTAATTTTCTCAGTATATGGCAGTTGGTCGAAAAGAACTACAAAATTTCGATTGAAGACAAGATAATGAGAGTCTTCGATGCAAATGGAAGATTAAATTTGAAGGCTACCATGTTTCAAAATAGAACCTTCAAGCTTGAACTTAATATGATGGAGCACGAGTTCCTTTCAACTACAACTAGCAGAGATGAATGGATATGGAACTATCGACAAGGCCATCTCAACTTCAGAGACATCAGAGATTTGAAAATAAGAAATATGGTTTTACGGTTGCTAGAAATCGGTATTCCAAACAAAGTGTGCGAGGAATGTGTGCAGGCGAAGAAACACAATAATAGCTTCAGCAAGGATGCATGAAGCAAGTCAAAGGCTATTCTCGAAGTCATATACACTGAGGTATGTGGACCAATCCAGGTGGATTCAAATGAAGGTAACAAATACTTTGCCACATTCATAGATGATTTTAGTTGAAAACTGTTGACTTACCTGATCAAGAAGAAAAGTGAAGTGATCGAGGTATTTTCCAAGTTTAAGTCTATGGTCGAAAGACAAAGTGGTCGAAAGCTCAAAGTTTTGAGAACTGATAGTGGTGGAGAGTATGCGTCGAAATACTTCGAGAGGTTATGTGAGAAAGAAAGGATTGTGCATGAGGTGGTGCCACCCTACACTCTACAGTAAAATGGAAATGCGGAAAGGAAGAATCGAATCATTATGAATATGGTGAGAATCATGTTGAAAGGCAAGCATTTACCTAAAGATTTTTGGGTTGAAGTTGTGTCGACGATAACATACATACTAAATAGATGTCTGACGAAGAAGCTGAAACAACCGGCTGAAAATCATCAAACAATGAAGTCGCCATCAAACGTCTTTTATCCCACATGAAGGGAAAGGTAAACATCGAGAAAACCTGAAAAGAGAGAAGTCACGGTCTTGCGACCGAGAGATCAGGTAAGGGAGTCTGTTACGCGAGGGGAAGGTATTAGCACCCCACACGCCCGTAGTACTCAACGGTATCCACTCTTGTTATCTATCTTATGGGTGTGTTTAATCTATGTTTACTGTTTACTATACTACTGAAAGGAGAATGCATGCAAAATAAATGAGAAAAAAAGTAGGGAAAATAAAGTTGTGCTCGCTTGGGCCCTACCCCAATGCCTACGTATCCGTTTTGAGGAATCAGAGCTACCGTAGTTTGGCTCACATGTTTTTGTTTTTTGAGTTTTTTATGGACGAAGTTAATCCCGCCTTTTGCCGCAGCTAGACCTTTGGAGACTTATGCATTGTCACAAAAGTAAATTAATCATGTTCTTACCTGAAAAGGGTTTTAGAGAAAAGGTGCTTGAGCGCACAAAATGATTTGAAGTGGTTTTATGTTTTATTACCTTGAAAAAGGGTTTAAGTATGCTTAACATGTTTTTGATTTGCTAAGAAAATGAGTTTTTGTTTTAGATGCAAGGATGCAAAAGGGGAAGAAAAGAGTCTAAGTGAGACTAGCCTATTTCTAAACCTAATGTTATCATACAATGGTAGTCCTATGTCAAGGATGAAAGTGGAAGTTTCTACCTACTGTTAGCATGTATGGTTTACAACCTAAGGTCTAACTTGCGTCCGAAAGGAGCAAGCGCATCCTAAGGGAACATGGTATGTACAAGGATAAAGCAAGCAAGCTAATAAGCTCAAGAGAGCACACCTAAAGAGATCCTGCCTAGGTTAGCATGTCGAAGAAAGTCTAGCAAAACTATCCTATAGGGAACATGCAATGAGAGCGAAGTCGTGATCTCAATTTCTAAATTGAGTGACTCATCGATCAACAAGAAATAAAGGAAAGCGATAAAGTCCTATAGGGAGCACGCACTGAGAGCGAAGTCGTGATCTCAATTCCTAAATTTAGTGACTCATCGATCAACAAGAAAGTAAACAAACACAAGCACGACATGTAGCAAACAAAGTGAGGAATGCCTGCTACAGGTCTTTAAACAGCGACTTCGAGCGCACGCTCTTTATTTCCTACTTCTCATGATATCTAGAAAGCGGTAAAGTGCGGAAATGAGGAATAAAATAAGGTTGCGATGATACCGAATGGAGAAGGTCCGTTGCCTCTTCGAAGCCATGCAAGTGATAAGAAAACTCTACAGAAGTTGTCTACATGAGTGATCAAAAATTAATCTCCAAGCATTTCCCATTGCAAAAGTTACATCAACATTCTATCGCAAAATCTTAGCTAGAAAAT